AGATGTAGAACTGGCATTTAAGGGAGGCAGGAGCACTGGAGAGTGCTGACTGACATGACCACCTCAACCTCCCAAGACACACGGAAGTCACCAGCACCATGTTTCTTGTGTTCCTCAATGAGGTCATGAACAGGAACGACTTGTGCTGTGTGAAGGTGAATGGAAATGGATGATTTCCGTCAGCCTAGCCCAGATGGGTGCACACATACCCACCAGTACTCAACACCAGTCACCTTTAAGGCATCCACAGAGTGTCCCTCACAGTTTCATTTAATCTCTAAATAGGCATGTGGTTTGAGGTGGCCTCTTTTGTTTTCTGTCCTCAGACAGACAACTGGATTCCATTAAGGTTCTGTTCAGTTCCATGAAGTAGCTATTTCAAAGCTGCCTTTCCTTCTGGGGCTTGGCGACAAGTTGATAGGCACCTGGGTTAACAGCTCACTCATTTTTTAAACATATCCACATTCCCGGTGTCAAAGGACTTCTTACCAAAGAATCCAAAACTGCCTGGGCACTATGCAATTTCTCTCTCAGGAAAGCACTTTTCTGAATTATAAGACAAATGACAGCACCACCTCTCATTTCCTGAGCAACTTGATTTATATGTACTCATGAAACTCTATAATCCAGCACCTTTTAAAAATATAATGTTGTTCTGGGATGGATTCTTTTTAAGGAAAACCCCCTTATAGAGAATTCTCATTGTGGAACACCATTTTTATATGCTATCTTCCCCCTGTATCTCCTCATTATTTATAATACTTCATGAAACAAATATTGGACTGCTTTTAAGAGGCAGGTGAAAAATATAGCTACTTCTGAAAAAGGGCATTTGGCTTTCTGCTTATAGCAAGAGCTTAAGTTATAGCCTACCTTGATTTCATGGGCTAATTCAATCAGAAATAAAAAAAAATTCTGACATCAAAAACCCTCTTACTAAATTTAATAGCTAGAAACTATTTCAGGAATTATCGTCTGAAATTCAGTGCAACAAAAATACAGCCTAAGTATGCAATGTGTAATGGTATATTCTCTTAGCTGTCTATAGCTGCTCTTAGTCCTTGCTCTTTTGTGAAGGACATGTCCCTCAAAAACCCTGTCTTTCAAGTCTCCTGTTCTTTATATATGAACCTCAGCAATGAATAATGGGGCACTAACTAAGATGCACAATTAATTCTGTCCTCATCTGAAATGCTGAAACCAGCACAATGCTGGCTTGCTATGCTATCAAGAGTTATTCAAAAGGAGAAAACCATCCTCTAGTTTGCTGAGAATAAACAACAGCATATGAAATGCATTAGGAACATGTTTCTAGGCAGTATTCACAAATATAGAAGGGAAGAAGATGGTTTCCAGCACTAGATATTTCCAACAAATCAACACAATTACTTAGATGATTCTGTCAATTTATGGCATCAAACACAACCTTAAAAAACACTCTGGTGTCTTCCTTACCAGCAAAAGTTTTCCTGGTTAATTTTCTCCTAAAAGTAATAAAATAGAAACACTCTTCATGTCAAAGGAGCTCCCACTTCAAGTAAATGTCTCTGTTTTGTTTGGTTTTCGCTCTTTTTCTTCTTTTGGTCAATGGTATGCATTTAAAAACACAAGAGTGTTGGTGAAATCCTCACAAAACAGTAATAATTGACTTCGCTACACAATACCACCTTTGGAAGTATCTTCTACATACCATATAACAGAAAGACAGTCAACTCTCAATTATACAGAATGACTTAGAGAATCTGATGAGGAAAACTCTCACTCTCCTTCCACCAGCCTGTTTTGGTCATGCCACTGCTTGTTCACAGACTGAGAGGCAACTCAATGAAATGATGTATCCATCAGTACATAGGTCATGCAGAGCTCAGTGGGGGGAAATCCGGAGTTTCTGACGGCAAGGATGTTTGCGGATCACCTGTGAATTTCAGATCTCAAAGGAGAGTTGACGGTCATTCACATATCGGAAGTACAGTACTCTGACCTTGGTCAGAATCAAACTAACTTAAGGCAATACTGCTCCTTGAGACATTGCTGGCAAAAAGGGCAAGCCTCATCAGAAAAGTGACTCTGTAAGAAGTAAAAATTTCTCAGTTTACCCCTTCCTTTTTTACTTCTCTGGAAGTAAATTTCAGCATTTCCAACCATTAAATGGCAGGAGCAACAACAGCCTTGACCTTCCCTTTAATAAGCCTTAGTATCTTCAGGGGTGAAGGAGATTCTTTGACCAGGAATCTGGATGACACTGTGCCCCATGCAGCATTATCAGGACAGTCTCCAGTTTGCTCCCCCTGACCACAGTCCCTGTTACAAGCTAAAGGAGAAAAACAGGATTTTATCAACAGGAAGATAAGCAGTTTCAGCTTTAAGACTCACAGGCACCACCAGATGTGAGGAGAAAATGGCACCACTGTATCTAGTCACTTCTCTAACTATGAGCAGTAAGTAAGGGACAAAGTACTTTAAAAATCCGTTTTTTTCCTTTTGGCCAAAAGAACAGGTTTTGGTGATTTTATGATTGTTTCTAAAAAGCCAGCATTATGAGAATATGGCACACTACCTCTGGTGAAAACAACCTAAATGCTGTTCCCTTTCACAGAAATACTGTTTTCTCAAAAGGGAAAAAAGCCTTTCGGTGCCAGTTCTATTCTGTTCTCAGTCCCTTGGAAAGCTGATTACACTGGGGTCTCACTCCCTTTATTTAGAGGGAAGATCTTATATCCAGTCACCAGTTACCTTTCAAGATAATCATCACTGAATCAATGAATAATCCTGATATTCCCCAAAGTGATTTTTATACAAAGGCAACACCCCTTAAAAATCAAGGCCCTAAAATGTCAACCACAAATGTGGTAAACTGAATGCACCATATTATATAGCAGGTGTTTCCAAAGAACAATTTGGCACAACACAAAAATTAGAGAGTATTTGACAGTATTGAGGAAAAATAATTATCCATTAAAAGTTAACTATATTTATACTGAAAAGTCCTGACATCGATGGAAAGGTGTGGACAGAGTCAGCAATGAATTTAGTCACCATCCAGTTCGGCTGCAGACCACAGTAGAGAAGAAAAGGGGAAAATGGGTCCAGTTCACAATTTTCTAGAGTTCAGGGAACACAAGGCCCAAGGTCACACACCTTGGACTATGTTGATTGAGATCCAAGTGGCCACTGAAAATCTGAAAAGGTTTTCCTCCTGGGAAATATCTATCCATATCTTTCTTTTCTAATTTAGATGTTTCTCTATGATCAAAAACTGTGAAGTCTTTTTTTGCAGTTCATTAGTCTGTTGCTGGTTGTTGTAAAGTCACTTGAGAAAAAGTAATTCAAAGGTATGCAAAGTCACTTTCTAAAAATCTCAATGTTCTTTTGAAGCATATGTAGCAACTGTCCAGTCTCCTGTAAAATAATTACGTCTAACAACAGTTTCACACTACAAATTTCTTCAACTCAGAACATTTAATCTGACCCTTGTCTGACTTTGCTTCCAGGCAATGAATTACAAAAAGGTAGGTTGGGGGAAGAGGGTATCCACATCCAGTAGCCTTATGAGAAGGCTCCATAACATACTGTGCTCACTCAGCAATACCAGTGTTAATGGGGCCTCCAGGGAAAAGAAGTACAGAAACAGATTTCCAAGGCCAGCATATTAGTTTACATCACCACATTAGCGCATAATACACTGTGGGCCTAAAAATTAAATTGCCTGTGGTCCAGTGGTAGAAAGAGGAACAAAATGTTTCCATATTTATATAAATATAACAAAGTGAAAAGCAGAGAACACAGTGAAGAATGTTTGTTAGCTCCTTTTAATATAGTTGTTAGTTACTTCTATAGTCAAAGGTAATAATTAATCTTAAAGATAATATAATCTTAAAGATAATAATATTTGAATGAGAATAAGAGGATTTAACTAATAAGAAAAGAATTACTCTGATACTCTTTAAAAGTGTTTGCTTTACAAAAAATAAAAATATTTTAAAATTCTAATTTTTTAAAAACCTAAAAAAAAAAAGTTAACAAATTTTCAATACAGATGTTGAGTTAGGTGTCACAGGGAATTATCACCTCTGGGCACTAAGACAGCTGAAACACTAATATCCAAGGGTTAAGCGTTAAGTGGCCTAACATTTTTTTGAATGAAAATATCTCCAGACAGCATTTTACAGTAATAAATATGATTGGCTAGAGTATATAAGAAGCAAGACAAATGCAGAATTCCTAAAGTAAATCTGATCATTGTATGAGATAGAAAAATAAACATTTATGAAATAAAAATATGGCAAATGATGTTGCCCATTTGCCTATCAAAATAAAAATACATTGTGTTTTCTTTTCTTAAAAGTTACCACAAATAAAAAAAAAAAAAAACTTTTTAAAACATGAAACAAAATCACAGGGCAGACAAAGAAAAATACAGCATTAATAGAAGTCAACAAGGCCTAAGTTTTGGATACTCAAAGCACCCTCTAGAATTTGACTAAGGCTAGGACCCCCATTTCATCTGCCCTTGCCTACTGAATTGAAGACTGCTTCATTCATTTCATCAGGGTCTTTCACAGTCCTATTTGTTTTTCTCTTTCCCCATTTCTTGACTCATAGTTTAGTGTTTCTTTCTTTCTAGATTATCATTTCCCTAAACTTGACTCTTAGCTACCTTTCACCCAAACTTCCGCAGTCCAAAAACTTTTTGAACTAAAGATCTTTTTCAAAATGAAAGGACCCAAATCCACTCAGAATTCTAAACAGCTTCCTGAATATTGCCTGACTTGAAAGACTATCCGGAAAGATAAGGCAAAAAATAGGCAGTTTCCAGTGGGAAAAGAATGAATTAACCACTTTTTCCTCTAGTCATCTCCATATTTCTTTCCTGAACAAACACTATACTGGAATGTCAAAAATGTCAGACTCATATAATGAAAAATAATGGAAAGTTAAGCTGAAGGGAAATTTTATATATATAGATAGATATGTATCTATCTATCTATATCTATATATATATATATATATATATACACACACCATGATTGCCATTTATATTAACTAACTAGTATGGGAAAATAAGCATTTCCACAAGGTTAGAAGCTGGACAAAGACTAGGTTTCTCAAAGGCGGCTTTAAAGGTCCTGTACGAAGGAATCCAATGCCATGAATCACTACCGAATATGTGGAGCTAAATACCTGGATAAAGAATCACTGTATCCACTTCAACTTCATGTTGAGTTAATCTGACTACTGACTGATAGATAAAATACTCTTTGAGTGGTTGCCAACAAATACCATTGTTTTTTAAGCAAATGGAAAAACTTATCAATCTATGTCCAGAGAGAATGACAGCATCACCACTTACATAAACACCTTTCCAATTCTACTTAACTTGGCTCTATATGTAAATGTAAAAGAAGAGAAGGGATACAACCCTTTTTTTTACTTTTTCACTTTCAGCTGACTTTGCACAGACCTGAGTTAATATTTCATAGAATTAAACTTTTGCCAATAAATACTAATAAATAGCCCAATGCCCAGAGGCCTCATAAAGACTTGCTATTAAGCAGAAGCAGAGGGAAAGTGTCAGAGAATGACATCTGGGTCAATTCTCCCAGGACAGCTTATAAGGATATACAAAACTGCTACCAGTCCTGGTGGTCAACATAACATGTTCCAACTGTTCCAGGTTTTCTTTCTTTCTTTCTTTTTTTTTTTTTTTAATACTTTATGGTTGCAATTTTTTTTTTTAATTTTCCTGAAGAATCAAAAAGCAAAAGGTTCTTTAATATACCATACACTAATGCACGAAAAAAGCTATTTCTTATATTCTTTTATTCTGTATTGCTTCCAGACATTATGTTTTATTCTGATCATAATCTCCACAAAATTCTAACTGCTAAATAAAGCCTAGTCTCTAGATACCAGTACTCCATACCTAACAAAAATGACATTTCACAGAGCTTTTAGATATTATATCCCAGGAAGCATATGTAGCAGAGAGGTGGCCAATATTCAGAAGCTAGATTTTCCTGTACTGCCCAAGTGATCAGGAATAACCAAACATTTTAAACGAATTAAAATTATTTATGGTCAGAACACTTGAAGATAAATCCCAGGAATACAAACACAGGAGGAAAAAAATGAGTGTGGAATGCATTCTGTATCATCCAGTAATGTTTGCTACAGTGAGTCCGTCTCAAGGCAGATTCCTAGGGTTTTACTGCTTATGATGGAAACCTTGGAAAGGAGGAAAAAAGAAGAAACACCATTAAGGAAAAAACCTTGGAAATGCTCTGCTTTCTCCCTGCTCGGGCAAAATCACTTATCTTCATTTCTATGCATGTCTTCTTTGTTCTTGATTGTAAAATATTTACATACAGAGTCGATATATTATCTTAGTATTGTATATCAAATGTACGTCAAAGATAGAAAGACCTCCCCTAAAAAGTAGTGCATTAATTTGAGGGGGAAAAAAAATCATGAGCTACTTCCAGTTAAGCCAGCCACGTTGGAAAGTCCACCAACAGATGGAAATTAAAGTGTATGGCGTTGTTTTGGTAATGTCCAACTAATTCTGCCTTTTACATAATGTCCTTTGTCTGATCAACCCTGTATGAATGCCCAAATGGAGAGGGTTTGGGTTAGGAGAGCTTTCTAAAAAGATATAAATGCTTGGCAACCTCCTGCTCCCAGAAATTCTCATTTAATTAGTCTGGAGCAGCACCTGTATACTGGTATTTTGTGATGACCACAGGGCAAAAAAAAAAAAAATTAAAGAAGTTTGGGAAGGCATGACCATTAGATTTGTTAAAGGATAATAAAAACATGACCTAAGAAATCTTCAAAGCTGTGCCAAATAACAGGTATCAATTTACAGGACTTAATATTTATAAAGACTATTGCAATGTGCTTGCATGTATTTTATTTATATGATCCTGACAACACTGACACTATTAAAATCACTTCCATTTTTAGATGAGAAAATTAATATATGAGTTACCACCTTTTCATTATTTCATTTTATGAGTGAATGTGTGTGCTTGGAAGAACAGCTACATGCAACCATTCTTTTCTTTTTAAAGATTTGGCACAAAAATAAATAAATAAATAAAAAGATCTGGTCCAACTTAGACTTCATATTCTTTCATTTCCTTTGCCCAGATTTTCTTTTGTGTGACAGAAGTTTTGTGTGAATTGTATATATATGTGTGTACTTCATTAATTTTAATTTCTTTCCTTTTCTTTAACTTTTTATTAAATTCTAGTTAGTTAACATACATTGTAATATTAGTTTCAGGTGCACAATAGGTGATTCAACACTTCCCACACAGCCCCTGGTGCTCATCACAAGTGACTCCTTAACCCCAATCCCCTATTCCACCCATCCTCCCTTTGCCCCTCCTTTCTGATAACCATCACTTTGTCCTCTGCAGTTAAGAGTCTGTTTTCTTGGTTTCTCTCTCTCTCTTTTTTTTTTTCTTTTCCCTTTGCTCTTTGTTTTGTTTACACTCACCCTTTAACAATCTGATAAAAGCTACAAATTCTCCCTACGGGAAAATGCACATACATAAGACAATCTGGCATTCAAGTTAGGGTGTTTTGTTTTCTGTTTTATATTTTTTAACAAATGAAGAATATTATAATGATGTTCCAAAAGAAACAATAACTTATTCTGCCACTCTAGCAATCTATAAGACATCATTTGATTTTTCCACCATACCATGAGGATTGTTAAAAAAAAAAAAATCCTAAGCTTGATCACATATATTTTTCTTACCTTTATGAGAGGATTCTGATTTTGAGAAATGACGCGTGGAATTATGCTGGTTTGTAAAATGAGTGTAATCCAAATCTTCAGCATCCGTCATGATAGGTGGTGGTGGCCTGAAGGGAAGTCCGAATTTAAAGAGATACTTTAATTAGTGGTGACTACAACTCCACCTCTCATTGGAATACATGATAAAAACATTTTAGTAGAAATGCAAAGCCACAATGTAGAATTCTCATCTTAGTTCCTTGACTGTTGCATAACCTTGAATAAATTATTTTATCTTACTGTTCCTTTGCTTTGATATACATAATTCAATAAAAACAAATTATTTTCTGAGCACCTAATAGGTAGGAGGCATTGTGCTAAGGACGAGAGAAAAAACATTAATGAGATGTATGACCACTGCCATTGAGAAACTGACTTTGTTTTGGTAGATTTTAAGAAGAAAAAGAAGAAAAAAGCAAAGGATAGAAGGGAAGTAATAAAGTTAAGCAAGGAAGAAAGAAAAAGAGAGGGTGAGGGTGGCAGGTCAGGAGGGAGGACAGGTAAAAAGGAAAGTGGAGGGCGAGGACATGGCTCAGCTTATAAAATCTAGAGCAAAGTTCCTCAGTCCACTAGGTGGCAAAACAGAGCTTAGAGAAGGAAAGGACAGTCACACACTGGCAACTTTTCATGTCAAAAGGAGACAAAATCTAAAAATACTGGGGAATTTTTATTACTCCAAAACTGTAATTATTTTAAAATCATGTGATTTTTTTTTTTTTTCCCCCAAACACTTCGCATTGATGAAGATGAGGAACAAAATCTCTCATCAGAGGTGTATTAAATGCTGCACTAGAGCATGGAACCAGAAGAGGTAACAGAGTACGTCAAATAAATGAGCACGCTGAAGGACGTCGTTTGTAACCATATGTGCAATCTGGAAGGTACAAGTATACTGCAGTTCAGAAAGGTATGATGAATTTGATACAAACGGCTCTGTCATGCAAGAATAAAGACGAGTGATTTTAAATTTCTCCCTCGGTCTCTAAGCAGCAGGTCTCTGGGTATTTGGAATCTGCCACAGGTCAGCACAGGATGTAAGCTTGAGGACTGTGCTATGGGCTCTCCTCAGATGATCTCAATGAACTTCCAGGACCAGTCTGCAGGGCAGCTATCACACACATACTTCAGAGTTACACTGGGTTAGATGAGGCAAGTGATCTGTCCAAGCTCACACAGTTGTTAAATGGCAGGGGTGGGGCTCAAACTCAACTCCTTTTCAAAATCAGTGTGCTCTTCACTACACTCCGCTGTGCTACACACGTGTGTAATTTTATCAGCAGTAGTATCTGCATTCAAGACTATACACACACGTATGTATCTTATACTTTCAAATGGTATTTGGCTTATATTTTTATATTTTCATGCTTTTGTTCTACATATATAACTAATATATAATATAATGTGAGCATAAAATGATACGGTATTTTTTATTTTTCTTATTTTTCAGTTTGAACTACTTGTTTTCAAATACTAGAAATTAAACATAGTGTTTTTCTTTCATTACTGACTAACATTTATAACATGTACCTTAAAAAGCAGTGTTAGGAGTTAGCAGGAAGAGTTGAGACAAACGATCAGACTCTAGAATTAAGAAACTCAACTTCAAGAAGAAGGTGGTTCAAGAAGTAGCTTAGGCCCAAGAAAACAGTACTGGTAATCAGGATGGCAGAGCCTCATCTTCACTCCTCCATTAAACTCTAATATTAGGTGATCAAAACCCAGAAAAACAAAAGCCAAGTGGAATTCTCAAAACAAAACAAAACAAAAAACACAACAAACTAAAACCCATGATTACTGCCTTACCATCAACCTATCAAGGAAAAGGATGCTAATGTGTGAAACAATACACAGAACTTCCACGGGCTAGGGTCTCCACGGGCTAAACAAATCAACCTAGAATGAGCTCAGTTTTCTTCATATCCTGTCTGCTTAGTTTGTTTTCTGGTTTTTGTTGTTGTTGTTGTTTAAGATTTTAGAGAGGAACAGAACACATGCACACAAGCAGGGGAAGGGCAGGAGAGGGAGAGACAGAGTCTCAAACAGACTCCCCACTCAATGCAGAACCAAGAGTCCACGGCTTAACTGACTGAGCAGCCCAGGCACCCTATGTCTGCCCAGTTTTTTATTACACACCAAACAAATCTTGGCTTATGGCTTCCAGTAGTCCTATCAAGCTATTTGCTGCACTGGAGACAGCTGTTTTAAAGCTAAGGATATTCATATTCAAAATCAGGAAAAGCTTGCTAACCAATAGTCTGTTTCATAATTTTAGAGTATTAGGAATACCTGTCTCCTATTGTTCTCACAAAATAATTTAAATGTTTAAGTCAGCAACACAGCCAAATACCTTTCAGAATTCACTCAAAAATCATTTCTTCAGGCACCTGGGTGGCTCAGCCTGTTAAGCATCCAACTCTTGGTTTTGGCTCAGGTTATGAAGACAGAGTCCTGGGATCAAGTCCCAAGTAAGGTTCCCTGCTCAGTGGAGTCTGCTTCTCCTTCTTTCTCTCTCTCTCCACCCATACCCCCACTCATGCTCTCTCTTTCAAATATATAAAATTAAATTAAATAAGTCATTTCTTGAAGAGGCCCTCCAAGATACCCGGACCAGGCTATCTCCTTATTTTCTTATAATACCATGTACTTTTCATCCAAAGCATTTATCATGGTAATAGTTATTTATACTATTGTTTAGATGATACATTTCATGAGAACAAAAAACAGTTCTTTCTTGCTAACTGCTGCTTACTCTAACTATGGGCAATTATTAGGACACTCAACAAATATCTGATGAATGACTAAGTAGAGATAAATATATTTTATACTCATAAGAACGCTGTAGAAACTAAATGAGATTTTTAAAATGCTTATGTTTTTCTAAGGGAAGAATGCAAATAAAATACCAGGAGTATGATGAGTATAAAATCCTACACTTCCAAAGATTTTGGAACTTGGTTGAAACTTTTCTCAGTTAAGTCAGATCGCCAACTGACTTTGCATTTCCTTAGAGAGGGTAGAAAATCTTGTAATGGACAAAGAAACTGATTTTGGACCATGAATGTTACAAGCTCTCATGATAATTTGTTTTCCCTCTACTACTATTATCACTACACTGAAGTAAACTTCTAGACCTAGGATGCTCCATGATCCTTAAATCCATCTCTTTGTGTACAAACAGATAAGTAAATCCACCATACTTAAACGTAAAGGAGGAAATAGAAAATGTGAAAGAGAAAACCACAGACTAACCAGAAAGCATATATTCTAATATTAGTTGTACAAGATCTGTGGTAATAGGCTTACTTTTTAACTATGAAATACAAATTTCAAAAAATTCTCATTTTTATTTTGTCACCTATATCTAGATCTATATCTATACATATGATCTTTCTATAACTGACACTTAAAGACAAATGTTCCCTTCAAGTCAATAAAAGACTTCAGTTCTACCAGTCATAGGTCACTTTCACTCATTTAAAATACTATTTTTAATACTGTATCATTTGTTTATTCATCTTCAATATACCAAATATTTTTAAAGTAACTTACATTTCAGAAACTTGTTTTCAACTTTAATACATCTTTTTAAATAGACATTCCAGACTGATCTATCATATCTGATGTCAAAATTATTAGTGTTTAAAGTGCCCCAAAATTTAGGAGATTACAGAAAAACCCAAAAGATGTTTTAATTCAGTTGACTAAAGAAAACATAATAAACTACACTTATTTACCTACTGAGAAGACATTAATTACTTCTTATTTTACTTGGATATTGCAGGGATGAAAATAAAGTCTGCCTTAAAAAAACCTTTGGCTGCCGGGGAGAGGGGAGTATGGAGAGGATGGTTGGGTAACGGACGCTGGGAAGAGTATGTGCAATGATGAGTGCTGTGAAGTGTGTAAGCCTGACGATTCACAGACCTGTATCACTGGGGCAAATAATACATTATATGTTAATAAAAAAAAATTAAAAACAAAACAAAACAAAAAAACCTTTGGCATGTGCTTACTTAAAAGATACAAGAAGAACTAACTTTAAACAATTGATAGAATATACTACTGTTGCCCTAAGAGCCTTTCAAACCTGATGTAGTTTTCTGAAGGATATTATCTTCTAAAAGCCCATGGGTTTTAAAAACAGAATACAGCTTTTTTTTTTTTTTTTAAAGTAGGTGGGTGTGGAGCCAACATGGAGCTTGAACTCATGACCCTGAGATGAAGACCTGAGCTGAGATCAACAGTCAGATGTTTAACTGACTGAGAGACCCAGACATCCCAAAACAATGTGGCCTTTTAAGGACACTAAACATATTCACTTTCAGTCAAAAAGTCTAGCAGCTTAAGTGTGGGCAGTGAGTAGCAACAGCAGTGTATATTTTTTCAATGTGATGAAAGCTAATACATATATTAATAATTAGGACCAATATTCAAAGTTTTAAAAGAATTTTCAAAATGTGAAATTTAGTGTTAATTCTGTCTTTCTGTATATAATATTCTTTCTATTCCAATCAGGTTTTTTTTTTTTTTTAAAGCCACAGGAAGCAATAAAGGACAAAAAGAACAAAAAAAGTTTGCTTCCTCAGAGACTTAAATATTGCTAACTTTAGGTAGGAGGTAGAAAGATAGCAACTACTCCTTGAACTATGACCCAAGGCTGTTTGAGAGAAGTCCAAAAGTACATCTACTATAGCCACAGCTATTTGATCTAGTTGGATTTAGAATAGTCTGCCATGTCTCAAGTAAGTGCCAAGACTTTGAGACTCATGCAGAAATGAACTTAAGCATGTGTAAATCTCAAGCACACACCAGTATGACCATGAAAACTCAGTAAAACTTCAAAAGCTGATTTTACTGGGAAATTGTGTAAGTTCATCCCTTCTTAGCTGAAGGCTGTGAATGCAAACACAAGAACTTGTCCTAACAAAAAACACATCATTCTTTATATGCCCTAGTTTCTGTAAAATTATGATCTTCCTGATTGGACTTGATCGACCCAGTTTAAGAAACAAAGTTTGAGAATTATCCTGCAAGACTTGATACCACCTCACAAATGCCAATTTCTGGATCTCCTCTCCAAAGAACACTCTTCTCAGACTATCCACATCTCCTTACTCACCCCAAGGTCAAGTTCCTCACTCCCCTTTTCAGGTGGCATCTTACCGTGCTGGCCTGTCATTCTTAGAACGGTGAGGGTCATCACTCTCTTTCGACTTTGAGTGTGCCGATTTAGTTGTTTTTGGCTAAGGATAGGAAAAAAGAAAAAAAAGAAGAAAAAAAGAGAAAAGAAAAGAAAAGAAAAAGAAAGGAAAAGAAAAAGAAGAAATATACATATAGAAAACAGCAAATGGTAAGATTGTTAGGTTTAGAAAATAAATCATATCAAACTATAGCAATTTCAACTTACTTACGTTCACATGAACAACAACAGTAAGAAATTTTTACATATGGTCACTCAGATAAAAAAAATTATAGTCACAAACCTATGCTGGAAGTGGTCAGTGCAGCCAGATGAGTGGGCTAACTACACATCAACATGCTCCCTGACAGAAGCGTGCCTGGTCACCCATTATTAACATAAAGCTGCACAACAACTGACAAGAACTTCCCGAGTCTGTGGAATATAGGTCTGTGCTCTTAAACTTATTTCTGAACATGTAACTTGGGGATGGTGATTTTCAAGCCAGGAAACTAAGGAACATTCAATTCAACCTTTCTAACAGAAGAACGATGCCAGCACCAATTACAGAATCTAGGAACTAAAGAACTCTTGATACTTGCTAGAAGTGTGGCCTTCCCCTTTTATTGCCTGATTTGTGATTTTTAAAAATACTTACTTCTTCACAGTTGAGCTAACAAAGAATCTGAGTAACTCCTGGGCAATTATTTGTAGCTTAACTTATAGAGCAGAAGCATTTGGGAGCCCTTCTACTAAAATGAAATACATTTGTTAGGAAAATCCTGAATTACTAAAAGGATAAAAGAAAGAGAGACCTATACATAATTAATAATGCTTTCATTTGTTTTCAGACTGACAACTGAATAACTGAGCAACAGGAAACATTAGAGCAATGCTGTTATCACCGTTTCTATGTCTTCTTTTTCCTCCTAATCAGTGCTGAAACCAGAGACCCAAGGGAGGAATTTGTTCGAGAGAGAGAGGACAGTGCTAAACATCACTATGGCATGGATACACACCCGAGCTGAATCCTCTCAGGCCTAGTATAAACTCCCTCTCTGAAAAACCTTTACCTTGGGAATTCTTCCTCCCTGCAACTCTGCTGTTCTTCTACTCTGCATTCTTCAGCTAGCTTGACCTTGTATCTGTTAGCAGTCTACACTGTCCCGTTTGCCCTCCTACATTTTACAGTATTACGAGGAAACTGTATGTTTGCCCTTCCCTGTTAAGTGCAGAGCGGTGCACTGCACACAGTAACTACTGAGTAATGTCCATGAACCTGGACCTGCAACTACCATGAACAACAATGACATTGCTTTACAGCAGAAGAAACAGCAGTCACTGCTCTGTCTAGTGTTTCTGACTGATGAGGGGAAGACGATAGTCCAAGCTCATGCTAGACGGTTCCTACACTCTGACCTAAGCCATGGTTGCTAGTGGTATCTGTCGGTTTGCCACGGATCAAGTTATGTCAGAGGAAAGAAAGATTACGGGCACATGATCATGGATGGACAATATAAGCACACAGAAAAAGCAGAGAGAGAAAAAGAAAAGGCCACTGGGGAAATAGGAAAGCATGAGAAAATACTACATTCTCCTGTAAGGTAAATATTAGTGAAACTAAGGTTGCTTATGACCAGAGGCACCTGCACCTCAATTGATCTTAAAATCAATGGAATGAGTTTTCAATCTTAGCAGTAATCTTTTCACAGTTACTTTGAAGAATTAAGTTTCTTTGTAATGAAGTCACTTTTACAAATTAGACCCATATATGCAATACAGATAATTTGTAAACCCTAAATACAGTTGCAGAATTTACCCTAAAAGTAGAGTCCCCGTTACAAAAATCAGAGAAACAATAAACAGAACTTACCTTCCAATCAGGGTCGTGCTTCCTTTTGTCCAAAGATGATTTCTCCCGCTCCTTGGCCTTCTTATAAGCTTTCTTTTCTTCAGCCATGAGAAGTCTAGCGATTTCCTAAACAAAATCCAATCAATACCATTGATTGCAGAGTTGTGGGCAAAAACTACTGGATATTTCTCAAGAGTACTGGCCAAATGAATATGAACTCACCTCATCCTGGGCTACTTGAGCTGCTCTCATGTCCACCTGGGTAGCCTACGGTATAGAAATACACAAAATTGAGTCATTTAACTAGAATCTGTGTCGTCCATTTTAAAAAATCTTCCATAAAAGTAAATTGGTATTTCAAACCAGCTGTAATCAACATCCCTGAAGTTTAGTTAGTATACTTTCACCAGCCAGAACAGGGGCTATTTTTATCAAATTCCACACCAGATTACTAAAGGATTATCAGGACTCAATGAAAGAGAGATAGGGATATGGAATTCTGTTGCTAATGTTTACTCAGTAAGTAAAACTGAACAATCTATTCCCATTGTCTTGATTTTTCCACCCATAAAAAAGGTACCAGCTTCTCAACTCATAGAGGTTCATTATGCCTATTACATAATCTCAAGAATGATTCAATTCAAGGAAACCTAGTGATTATCACCTAAAGTTCTACGTGAAAATTCACTCACCAAAATTTCTTCTTCTTGCAGTTTTCTGGCAATTTCAGCATCATACCATTCCTGATCTCTGTGGGCCACTCGTGAGGGAGTAGAGACAGCTTCTTTCATCCCTCTTGGCTTCATTCCTAGAAAAAACTCTATATAATAAGGCAAATGCATTGTTTTCTGAAAAGATGCAAAAGTTAAAGTTCTTCTTTAGTATCTAACTCTGACGACACTGCCATCACTACAGAATTCTGTATAGGGTGCACGTGAAATAATTTTTTCCCCTAGGCACAGAAGTGGCAATGCAGATTATCCACACATTGAAACAAAGTTACCCACACAAAACCACCAGGCAGAACTCCCCTTTCATATAGTTTCTTCAACAGCAGAAAATCGCACAATGAACTGTAAGTGAGGCTTTTGCAAAAATAGCTAGTGAAAAAAAGGTGAAATAAAAAAAAATAGCTAGTGAAAAAAAGGTGAAATAAAAAAAAAATAGAGTAAGGAGAGTTAGAGAGTCGGGAGTTTTAAAGAGGCTGAGGAGTCAAGACTGGAGGAAATGAGGGTCTTCCTTCTATTTAACTCTGCCTTGCATACTTTACTTCAGGGGGAACAGAAACAGTATCACCGGGGAGCTATGTGACAGTACCTGTGAGCCCACAAACGGCTCTACCATAGTTTCCGCTCTGATGGTCAACAAACCCACTTGCTTTAGATCCTTCCTGTAGCTTTGATTAGTTCAGTGTTGTTGCTAAATTTTAGGGAAGATATAACATAAGGGAAATACCAGAGAACATAATGAATGACTTTGATTTCTACTCCTCTGAGGGAAAAGGAACATGGGGGACTGATGGGGAATTTTGGCATTTTTCTTTGAAATGTTATAAACAACATATAATCCTTTTATAACTTTTAATCAAGTGGTAGCTGCTAATGTTTATTTCAAAATTGCAGATATTTCCCTCTTTGTATCTTGTATTAATTACAATTATTCAACAATGTAAATGTATTGTATACAGAAGTAATAACAATTTTTAGTGCCATGAACATGATTAACCATCTGGAATAGTGACTTCCAGTAAAGGGACTACTGAAGGGAGAAAGAAAATTTACTCCTAACTGCCTACTTCTTTGTATCAGTGGCTGTCAACTCTAGCTATATATTAAACTCACTTGGGATGCTTTAAATAAACATAAAAATCTTCATCTCAAACCTCAAGGATTCTAACTTAAGTAGCCTGGATGAGATCTGGCCATCGGCAGTTTGGTTGTTTTAATCCTAATAGTTGATGCTTGCTTGAAAATGGCATTGAAACTATTAGTTTACTATATTATATCCATCAAAATAACCATACATTAAAATAATTTTTATCAAAATGCCTCACTGTACTTGACAAAAAGTAAAGGAAAAAATACAATTAAATTCTGGGCACATGAAGAAATTTAAATTATTTGGAGAAGTCTCTCTTTGTAGAGCTTTACATCTAGTTTTGTGGTAAATCCACAAGCCATGTATTCATCTGTCTTCCCCACAAATACAGACTATTAAACCTGGATTTCTTAACTTCAGGCCTATTAGCACCTGTTTATTCAGAATACAGAATTCACTTCAGTTTCCCATCATCTCTAGAGCTACTGAATCTTACACTGCTGGGCTAGGCTGGGCTGGGCTGGCTTTAAAACAGATTTCTGGGGGCGCCTGGGTGGCTCAGTGTGGATTAAGCCGCTGCCTTCGGCTCGGGTCATGATCTCAGGGTCCTGGGATCGAGCCCCGCATCAGGCTTTCTGCTCAGCGGGGAGCCTGCTTCCTCCTCTCTCTCTGCCTGCCTCTCTGCCTGCTTGTGATCTTTCTCTGTCAAATAAATAAATAAAATCTTTAAAAAAAAAAAAAAACAAAAAAACAGATTTCTGAGTGGTTTGGGACAGTCAGGAAACAGAGATATTCCCAAGACTGAACCATATTTAAATGAAATATAAACCTCCCTGAGTTATCATTAGTTTGGTCATAACTGGAAAACAGTATTTCAGGGAAAATAAATGAAATTAGATAGGGAGCTGGAATTGGACAAAGTTAGTGGAAAAGAGGTTGTGATACTACTCTCCTATCTACAGGAAACTGATACTTCTCTAAGCAGCTGAGTCTCACAGCAAAGATTACAGTTAGGCCTTGTTCCTTCCATTTTGCCACCAGTGAAAGAAACAACAGAGTGGGATGTGTTCAGATTTTAACACACTAAACCCTCTCCACTCTTACTCTACACTACAGAATTCACTAAGAAAACAGTTTGTCTTAGTATCTTTCAAAGTCACTTAGAAGACATTCAAGTGAAATAGTCAAATGAACAAACTTAATCAGTTTAACAGGGTGGTAAGACTGTCACTTCCAGGCAGTTTAAAAGAAAATGATACACAGGTCAATGGAACAGAATAGAGAGCCCAGAATTAAATCCATGCATATATGTTCGATTGATCTATGACAAGGAAGCCAAGAATATACAAGGGGGGAAATACAGTCTCTTCAATAAGTGGTGTGGGTAAAATTGGACAGCTACATGCAAAAGAAATGAAACCGGACTTACATTATAAAAAAATAACTCAAGTGGGGGATGGCTGGGTGGCTCAACGGGTTAAAGCCTCTGCCCTTGGCTTGGGTCATGATCCCAGGGTCATGGGATCGAGCCCCTCATCAAGCTCCGCATCGGGCTCTCTGCTCAGCTGGGAGCCTGCTTCCTCTCTCTCTCTCTGCCTGCCTCTTTGCCTACTTGTGATCTCTCTTTGTCAAATAAATAAATAAAATTAAAAAAGAAAAATAACTCAAGTGGATTATGGACCTGAACATAAGACCTGAAACCATAAAACTCTAAGAAGGAAACATAAGCTCTTAGAAATGATTTTTTTTTTTTTTTTTTGGATTTGACACCAAAAGTAAAAGCAACAAGACCAAAACTAAACAACTGGTGCTACGTCAAACTGAAATGCTTCTACACAGCAAAGGAAACCATTAACAAAATGAAAAAACCCATGGAATGGAAGAAAATACTTACAAATTTGGTAAGAAATTACTATCCAAAATCTATGAAGAACTTATCCAACTCAATAGCAAAAAACAATCTGCCTTAAAAATGGGCAGACATTCTGATAAATATTTTTCCAAAGACATATAGATGGCCAACAGGTACATGAAAAGGTGCTCCACATCATTAATCATCAGGGAAATGCAAATCAAAACCATAATGAAATTTCACTTCGTACCTGTTAGAATGGCTGTTATCAAAAAGACAAGAAATAATGAATGTTGGTAAGGATGTGGAGAAAAGGGAACACTTTGCGCACTGTTGGTGAGAATGTAAACTGGAACAGTCACTATGGAAAACAGTATGGAGGTTCCTCAAAAAATTAAAAATAGGACTACCATGTGATCCACTAAATTCCATTTTTGGATATTTTTCTGAAAGAAACAAAAACACTAACTCAAAAAGATATATGTAACCCCATGTTCACTGTAGCATTATTTACAAAAGCTAAGAATGGGAACAACCTAAGGGTCCATCAACATATGAACAGATAAAGAAAATACGGTATATATACAGTGGAATATTATTCAGATATAAGAAAGAACATCTAGCCATTTGCAACAACATGGAAGGACCCTGACAGCATTATGCTAAGTGAACTAAGTCAGCCAGAAAGAAACAAATACTTTATGACCTCACTTTATAGAGAATCATTAAAAAAAAAAAAAAGGAAAAAAAGAAAAGCACTCATAGATGCATAACAGACTGGGAGTTGCCAGAGGCAGAGGGTAAGGAGTGGGCAAAATGGTTGAAGGGGGTCAAAAGGTACAAACTTCCAGTTATAAAATAAGTAACTATGGTTTAACTATTGGTAATAATACTGTACTGCATATTTGAAAGGTGTTAGAGAATACATACTTTTTTTTTTTAGAGAGTACATCGTAAAAGTTCTCATCACAAGAAAAAAATTTGTGCCTGTATATGGTGATGAATATTAACCAGATTTATGAACATTTTACAATATACACAAATATCGAATCATTTCACTGTATACCTGAAACTAATATAGTATGTTAATTATACCTCAATATAAATGAATGCATGAATGAATGAACAGAATACTTAATGAGTAAGTATTTGAGGTAATAGCTCTCTAAGTCTCAAATATCTAGTGGAGAAACAGTTTATTTGAACTATTGATATGTCATTGAAATTTACATGTCTCACAAGCAAAAAATCTCAATATTAGATTTCTGGCAGGACTGGTGACTATATGTAGTATGCTCGGTACCAGAAGTAAAAAGAGCTTTTTTAAGTATATAAGACGAACTTCAGATACTACATTGGAAGTCTATTCATTTCATTATAGAAAACGGAGATGCTTTAAAAATATTAAAAGCGGAGTTAATTGAAGGAAATTAACAGAATGGCTGCTCTTATCTGACTTAACAATCCAAAAACTAGCTTCCAAAGATCAGGTGAGGGCTACCTGGGTGACCCAGTCAGTTAAGTAGCTGCCTTCAGGCTCAGGTCATGATCCCAGGATCCTGGGATCAAGCCCCAAGTCGGGCTCCTTGCTCGGTGGGGAGTTGGCTTCTCCCTCTGTCCCCCCACCCTACTCTCTCTCACTCTCAAATAAATAAATAAACTCCTAAAAAAAAAAAAAAATCAGGTTAGCCATACTTAACAGCTGCACATTCTTTTATTTTTTTTTTTGACAGAGAGAGAGAGGGAGGGAGGGGGCGGAGAGAGAATTCTGAGCAGGCTCCATACTCAGCACAGAGCCCGAAAGGAGACTCAATTTCATGATCCAAAGATCATGACAGCAGTCGAAATCAAGAGTTGGACACTTAACTGACAGAGCCACCCAAGTGCCCCTGCACATTCAATTCTTAATCTAATCCTTGCTTGTTTGTTCATCATTCTCCAGTCTAGGACACAAGAACCTCCCTGAACAAACACAAATAAAGCTTACCTTTAAATTCTCGCACAATAAGCTAAAATTATTAGAAGTACTAATACTGAAGATACATTTATCCCAAATTTGGGATAAGGTAAGATGAGGACTGACAGATTCTTGAATATCATGCAAGAATATTTTTTAATAAGCCAGTCTGAAGCTTAGGGAATGTCACAGCAGAAAGATATAAATGTCTTATGGTCCTGAGAGGCTGGAAGTTAACCAGTAGGAAGTAATAATCTGTTATAACTTAAAAGCTCATTAGAGAACTAACCCTCAAAGGAGATAGGGTTTTAAAGTCCTTTAGAAAGTTAACTGATCTTATATTTAATTTAGCAATTGTAAATAGCATTCCTTTTTCAACTGACTATGCAAATTCTGTTAGAACTAGTTCTTTGTCATCCTGGTAGTTTCTTCATTACTAACTTAAATAAAACTTTGGCCTATGTTAACAACTTTAAGAACTGTGCTTTTACAAAAACAAGAATAGACACCAGTATTTAATAATTGCATTTTAATGTAATCTTCTATTCTAGAGGGTCACAAAATCAAATACCTCAAGTCTCTAGGAAGGTAAAATTTGTAAGGTTGAATACAGAATGACAGGTCAGCAGCTACACTGTAGCCATTTTAGTACCTGCCTAACTGCATTGTTTTTTTAAACCACTGGGGGGTGGGGGGGGTAGCAGGGAAGAGGGAGTTTACCCACAATTCCAGTAGGCAGGTTGTGAATCAGTGTTTTATTTCATATTAGTTTTACCTTTCTTAAGCCTGTTTAAGAAAGCCTCAAGTATAACAAAAAGCCATAAAGATTAACCGGCTCTCGAAGCATACTTAAAAAGCAGAATCACAGAATCAGAAATGTAGAGATAGGAGCAATCCTTCACCATGTTATGACTCCAACATACCTTTCTACATTTGGATATAGATAGTATAACTTATTATAGAGAGATCATATCACTGCCTCCTCTACTCCCACATAGCTCTTTGTTCAAAGTACATCTAATTTGTAATTGTTTACATTTATTCTACTTTCTAGCTTGACTTATACCTCTGGGGCTCAGATCCAAGCATATATCCCAGAACATAAAGCCTGAGGCAGAATATTTTCAGCAGATACTCAATGTGGTTGCTGAACTGAAGTTTCATTTTCTTTATGACCAAGTCTTTTAATAGCTTAAATGACTAACATCACAGGAAGAAGAAACCTATCAAACCAACCTGAATCTGCAACATAGAAACCAGTTCCAGACCCAGAAAAAGTGGTTGGCTGAGCAGTGAGAAGGAGAAAATAAGAACAGATGCCTCCATGGAACTCCCCAGTAACCCTTGTGTCTCTGTAAAACTTCAGGAAGAATAAAATAGAATGAGGGAGAGGAGTATGGCCTAATTATGACTGACAGTGGTCCAGCCACAAGGAAAACATCACCACAGCAGTTTCCAGATAAGAACAGAGAAAACCATTACTGTGTCAATGAAGGATGTCAGAGCCTCAAAGATGCCAGAAAATTTGAGGCTCAAGTCTAACATTCACCTCATTCCAAACAAACCCCAAGAACAGAACGTACCCGATACTGACACTTCAGAACACCAACTGCAGCCTTCGAGTCGAACATGGTTACAGCTTAGAAAGAAACTTAAGGCAATGTTCTTCCAACTTTAAGTACAGGTCAAAAACAAATCCACCTCACCAGGAGAAAGTACAGAAATGATCATATGAGATCCAGAAAGCTGCCTCTTTAGGAAACAGCCCAGCAGATTCTGACAAAAATAGCGCAAGGCCCACAATTAGAAATATGCTGTTATAACAGACTGCCTATTCAATCTCTCACTTTACAAATGGGAAAGATGAGAGAAGCTGGTACTTCCAGCCTCACTGGTTTTCTAGTTCGGCAAATACTATGAAGACAGTGTCAATACCTCTTACTTACAACCAGAAATTCAGGAGCTTTGATTTGGTATCTGATCTCTGGTATACGGTCTTGGCAAATGAAGAACTGTATCCGGGATGGGCACCTCCACTGCAATCTGGGGCTAAAAGACCTTTGTAAGGAACTGGTGTATTTTCTTGGAAAGCAGTAGGAGAAAGGTACAAATATTTTTCCTCTTACTATAAACTTGATTTTAAGTAGATACGTTTTGTATTTGGCTCCAGGATTTATTTTAAAGCCATGAGTATAAACTAAAGAGAAAGAATAGGTTGCTTAAGATGCTTATTAAATACATTCGCTTGTATATATATACATGATACCAGGACTTTCAAGGTGACTGTCCTTCATTACCTGTGTCATGGAGCTGGAGCTGTTCCTCACTCTCTGAGAAGGGAGAAGTCCTGGGCCTGTGTTTCCTTTGTCTGTGCTCACCTTTCCCATGGTCCCTCCCATAAACAGCTTCCTTGCAATGAAGCCCTGCTTTCTGTGAAGACTTGGGTGAAAGTTGGCCTTGGTGTCTGGACTGCTTTTCCCAATTCCAAGTTCGATGGATACTGTTAGCCTCCCCATCATCAAATCCAGTACTCAGAAATACCTCACCACTGATCTTGGGAAGTGGAGGTCTCCGAAGTCTCTCATGATCAGACCGTTTCCTTTCACGCTGCTCAGTGTCAATTTGGGAACTGGCCCTCACTTTGCCCAAGCTATAGGATGACAGACATTTCCCTGATGAACAATGATCTTCTAGTTCTTCCGACTTCTCCACTGGATGTTTGGGTTTCTTGTTCCTTTGCTTCACAGTGTTTCCATCACTTTGGAGTCTACATGACCTTGAGACTCCAGAACCCAATTCCCTTGCCCTCCTTGACTGTGGCTGGTCTGAGTGGAAGTGGAGGGATGTGAAAAATAAAATGCAGGTTAACTTAATGAGAGTATGAACTCACTATGCAGGAAAGACAGGGACCCAAGTTTAATGTATTTTAAAATGGAGAAGACTACTTTTTCAACTTAACTGAAAATAGGGGACAGGCATTTATTGGAATGGTCCATGTATACATGAAGGATTCTGGGTATTCAGTCAAAAACGTAAAAGACTAAAATAAAATTATGTGAAATAAATTTGAAAGAAGAGCTTGATTATGAATAGGGAGTTAGTATAGTACTTTGATATTTGCCAATAACAAAAACCACAGCCATTAAATGTTAAATTCTACTTATAAAACCAATTTGGAACTACTATGAGGAGAAAATAGGGATTGAGAGAGTCTTATAAAACAGAAAACAACTAAGCCTGGTGATAACTAAGGATTCCAGGAAGACTTTCAAATATTCTTATTGGAAATGACAATAAATCTCTATCAGAATGTTGCTAGTTTCCATTTCATTTGGAGAAATGACCCAGACTTTAGTATTTCCCTACTCTCTCCCAGCCATGCAGTTCAATGTGGAAGAGGATGGAAGAGACAATTTAAAATGAGTAAATGACCCTGTTATCTTTAGACAACTCTGCTCCCAAACTTCCTTAACTTTGCCAGAGGAAAAAATTAAAAAGGGATGCCATAACAGAATACAGGAAAAGGAGTCACTTCCATCCCTGTATTCATTTCAAAAAATGAGTCGATACTGTATTCTCTGTATAAAAATGCAGTGTGTGCTAACTATACAAGTCCCTAAATGTAACACAAAATAGCACATAGAGGGGTGCTTTTGTTAGACCTCACTGAGGCAGGAGGATACTATGAAAATGAAGGAAAGATATTACTGTGCACTTTGCAAGGCATATTTAATGTTTCCTAAGACTCAATATATTCTGGAAAAAAAAGACATCCTAATTCCACAGAAAACTGCTAAATTAGCTAAGATACCTTTCCTGTTGAAATTACCCACTTGCTGAATTGCATTTGAAAAAGCTACCCCAATTTGATGGGACATAGAGGAAATAATGAACTATATATTTTCTTAATTTTTAGGGGTTTTGTTTTTTTTTTTAAGTTTTTTATTGCTAATCAAATAAAGGAACAGAGGAAGGGGAGATACATGCTAAATGTATCACTGATGCCATAAGGGTTCTCAAAACCTTAATCATTTCCTCTTGAGTTTTCCAGAAGAAAAGAAAATCTGCTTCAAAGATGACATCTAAATTAAAAGCTGTCTTCCAAAAAGTTTACAAAATTATCTACAGAACTTTTGATTAAATTTATTTTTTACATAAAAGTGAAAGAGAACAATTATTCTCTATGATAGAGGTATCTATTCTTTTACCAAACTATTATTTTAAGTATATCTTGACAACTGAGAAAGAACCAATTGACTACTGTTGTGAATTATTAATATAATATTGACTCGCTACTTAAATGATGACCACATCCAGGGAACAATGGTTTAGTGTTAATACCAGTGTTCCCACAGAGAGCTGCATGAATGAAGTCTGCCTTCCAGCCCCCCAAAACAAGAAGGGCTTTGTTTCTGACATGGATAAGTGAGACTATGATTGTTTTGTTGTTGTTTTTAACTCTTTCTAAAAAGTTAACTAATATTAATACTTCTACTTTAGGTAAGTGTGCTCCAAGAATTAGAACAGAGCTTTCACTATATTTTCACAGAGTTGACAGGAAAAAATATATGTTGTCTAGTTCACTTGTGATAACTTTAAACCTCAGAAAGAAAAAAGACTGAGGTGGGGGAATGTGCTTGAATCCTTTGAAACCCTATCCAGGTTAAGGACTGAGACTTGTATATTTCTTGAGACTACGTTATTTGGCAAATATAATTAACTTACTTATAGCCAATGTATATACATTTATATGCATATAGACATATATATACATATATATATATAAACATTTGTGTGCTTCCATGTTTGTCTTTCAAAATAAGATGATTTTTGTATAGATACGCAAGATATTGTTGTATACACATAATACTGATATATGCATAAACAATAGTACTTAAGAGTTTAAGTCCTCACCAAAATTACATTATTTGATCTTCTCAAAACCCATGTAAAGGATTTATTTTTAAAATCTCCATTTTATCAATGAGAAAAAGGCTTACTGTGATTACAGTAGATAACTTCCCAACACTACAATTGTTCTATAGAAGGGATGAAACTTGAACTAAGGTCTTGTGACTCCAAAAGCCTGATTTTAAAAAAAAATGATCCATATGCCTATGATAAAGGTATGGCTTTGAAAGAAAAACATGGATTCACAAATGAACAAGACACAGCATTTCAGCTGATATAAATCTGACATACATTTTAGATAATTTCAAATTTGCAGAAAATCTACAAATGATCATTTTTAAGATTTACGCTTAAGAAAATAAAAGCTAAAAAGAAAGCCACTTCTATAATGTCTACTTTAATTATTATGTAATTAAGACAAAAATCATAGTATACATAAAAATAGAGAAGTACGATTAAATAATATCCCTATGTGTTGGGAAAAGACCACTGCAAAGGAACAAGGATTACACTTTACACTTTGTGCATATGAGCTGAATTATAATGTGGTTTCTATGGAACTCAACTTGGTCCAACTCAAAGGCAAATGAATGAGGATCACACATGTTCAGCAAACTATAAACTTGCAGCAACAACACAAGTGAAGAGGAACTCTAATATTTATATGCATATGCTCAGGAGGTCACAATTTCACAATTTTTTTTTTTTTAAACTTTAAGAAAAACCACTGAATTCTTAACATAGTCTCCTGCCCTAGAGGATGACAGCACTCTGGTTAAATCAACCAGATTTGAGTCCTGACTGAAATTAGGCAAAAGTTTTAACAGAGGACGGCCAAAATTAATACTTCAGTATACTTAGTTACTTGCCATCCTAATGTTTTTATAGACTTAATAGTTTCAAATGGTTGTTTTTATTTGCAGTGAACATGATTGCAGAGCAGAAATAAAAAAACAAATGAAAAATGCGACAGCACATTTCTAAGCTTTTAATTAAAGCTGAAGAATAAACTCTTTGCCTTCTGGTCTCTAGCTACAGAAATATATGGCAATATTTTTTTTTTCTTCTTAAATGATGTACTACATGATTTCATTTAAAAAACCAGCATAAGGAAAATGACTATCAAAAAAGAGCTGGGCATTTTACATATGGAAGAAGAGCACAAACAATAAATAATCAACCTGCTTATTAACTGCAGTAGAGCCAAGCTCTACTGGGTAAGATTGTACTCAACTATAGTAATCCTAGCATCTACATATGCATTCCTTTCATTCTACCCATCAAAGACAAATAAATACCTGCTTCTCCTTTCTAGTGAAATTATAGAGAAGTATTGATAATTAGCTCACAAGGGCATTGGGGACCATTGACTTTAATATCTTTACTCTTTAGGAGATGCTTTAGGTTTTACTTACTTGTTAACCTAAGTCTGGTCTCCAAGCTGAACTACAAAAAATACTGATACTAGAATTATAAGAAATGTCTTTCCTTTGACAGATCTTTAAAGAAGATAGAACAATACTTGCAAATACTCGTTTCCCAACACACTTTTAAGATAAAGAATCACCGGCACCACAATTGCCACCACAATGCCATTGCCACCACTACACTGCAAAAGCAGGCACTAGAGAAGAGAAATTCAGAAGGGACTTCTCATCCTCAGGAATATTTCTATACGGCAGTCAAACAGCAAGGAAGCATCAAGGACAAATAATGAACACAGTGTCTTAGAATTTAATTTTGTCATCAGCACACATACTCATTGGTCAATGTTTGAATAGGCAAGAGGCACAGAAAGAAGCTTTGTTACCCAACTGATGTATGACGTACCATCTTCATAATCCGTGGCACTCTGCTGCTTCGGACATTCTGCACACACTCCTTGAGAAAAGCCAAGCCCAGAGACTCACCCCATTTTCTACACCCCAGTTTATGTGCTTAGAATGTAGTACAGCATTCCAAATGGCTACAGCACAACAGAATGCATGTCAAATCATCCACATAGCCCCTGAGGTCACTTTACAGACAAATTTAAAGGGGTGTCTTATGGTTGAGTCTAAGGACAGAGTAAATCATATTGTTACCTCCATTTTCGTAATAGTAACTATCTCCATAAACACTGGATCCAGAGGATTCTGGAAAGTGTTTCTTCCGCTTTTTCTCTTCCTGTAACTCCTTTTCTTGCAAAAGGCGAGCTATGTCCTGCAAGTACAGAGAGAATGCTAATCAGTATTACGAGAGAATGAACAAACCTTTTACAGTGGAACAGATTCCACCCAGTAGCCCTGTAGGTCAGTGGTTTGATATTCCATTGCCAAGCTTTTTGTGGGATCTGTCCATAGCTTTCCAGGCTTTCAGGTATTAAGCTCATGCTATTCAAATGCCATCCATAATAGCTCAACAGAAGTGGTGCACGATCCAGATGAACAAGAAAGGCTTTTTTTTTTTTTTTTTAACTAAATTTAAACCTAATCCAATCTGGAGACATACAAACCTAGTTTTCCTAAAGCTGGTTATACAATATAATTTTTAAAATACTTATTTGTGGGCCCTTTTTCCAAGCTGATGATTCAGTAAGTCTGGATGGAGAAGAGTGTAGTAATCTATGAAACTTTATAAATTGTATGTATAATTTAATTTTAAAATTTTATAAAAGAATTCTTCAGTTGATTCTGATTTAGCTTTGCATTGAGTACTACTGTCGTTAGCTGAAGAAGAGAAAACGGTATTCTTTCTCTCTCCCCCTTGCTTCATCTCCAGGCAAGTTTTTAGCAGTTACTGAGTGATAAATAACATTCTGACCCTGCCCCTAAAAGACTACCATCATCATCTGAAAACAAAGGTATGTGTAAATAATTACAATACAATTAAATCATAAATGCCTCAATAAGAGGGTAAAAATATCAATGTGAGTATAAAAGAGGCAAGTCTTATTTCTGCTTAAGTTAATTAGTGCAGGGGCGCCTGGGTGCTCAGTGGGTTGAAGCCTCTGCCTTCGGCTCAGGTCATGATCCCGGGGTCCTGGGATCGGGCCCCGCATCGGGCTCTCTGCTCTGTGGGGAGCCTGCTTCCTCCTCTCTCTCTGCCTGCCTCTCTGCCTGCTTGTGATCTCTGTCTGTCAAATAAATAAATAAATAAAATCTTAAAAAAATATTAAAAAAAAAAAAAGTTAATTAGTGCAAGTCTTTGTATTTGCGTTAGGTTTTGAATAAAGAACTGGATTCCAATAGGCAAAGTAAGGAGGGAGAACAACCTCAGAAAAAATATGAATGTTGTATTGGGAACAACCAACAGTCCATTTAGAACACAGGAGGTGGGGTGTTAAAAAGAGAAAGGTAAGTCAGAAAAACAGTCTGAGACTGGATCACAGGCCTCCTTACACACAATCTCAGTGTGTGTGGACTCTGGAGTCCACACTGTACAGGATGAAGGCTTACTAAATGTTTGAGCTAGAAAGTTACAGTGTTCTGAATCTGAAGCTTATTTCTATGAAAGACCCACAAAACAGCACATAAATTTTGTTCCATGTACACTTTTTTGGAAAGAAGGTCCCTAGGGGTTGCCAGATGCCAGATTCTTATAGACCAAATGTGCAACAGCATTCACTTGTGAAAAATAACAATCCCAAGTAGTTTGAGGTGCCTACTTTATATTTATAATAGGGAATATAAGAAGTGCTTAGATGTTGATATAAATTTTGAACCAAGAATTCATTACTACTCTGCCTTTTGCAATTTTTTAAATAAGTCAAAATGAAGAATATACTAAGACTGGAAGGCAAACTTCAAAAAAATTCATCTGAATAAATGAATTACTTTCAGGTCAGTGTAGAACATTATGGATGTGGCAGCTAGGAAAATCAGCAATGATTATCTGCATACTCAGCTTTCAATGTTCATCAAAATGGCCTTACAAATCTAACCTTATGTTAAATGAATACCTAAATTCAAACTCATGAATATACTAATTAACATACTGTCTTTAATGGATTTCTATGTTGGAAGCGTCTCATAAATTTTGTGCAAAATACACATACCTTTCTACCAATCAACTACTTGTCTCTCTCTCTCTATATATATATGGTCATGTATACACAAACACGTACATACATATCTATAGATATACATACATATTTATATCTACATAGTCTATATATACATATAGATATCTATTTATATACACATTACACACATTACCAGTCAATCTTAAAGTCAAATGTCTTGCTTGATTCCCTAATGCATCATTTTAATAAATCTGTTACCAGATATAGCCCCTGTGCCAGGTTCACTGTATTTGGTGTCTTATAAAGTAATGTATCAATCAGTTCGAGAGAAAGAGAAGTAGGACAGATATCTTGCTCTCCCAAAGCTAGTATTATTATAGTAAAGTTTCCCAAATCTCTATACTTATTGCAAAATAGGAAGAAAATGCAAAATTTCCCTGAGTTATCATGTTTACTAAGCACCTAACATTTCGGTTTGCTTTACAGGAAACAAGAAATTTCCCTTGCTGTAACGGAGTAAAAATATAAGGGAAAATTACCAGGTCCAACTGCCAGCAGACATGATTAAGTTAAACTATGCTTTAGAGACCTTATACTTGCCCTCCCGCTATTGAATTTTGTCCTAATGGATACACAGTAATAAGCCAAGTTCTCAGTGTGAAGAACTAGGAAAGAAATGAGGATGATGCCGCTTCTTGCCTTGTATTATCTAGTCAAAGACAGTGCTTTTCATCGAGGAAAATAACAGTTATGGGCCTTAGCACCCAAACTGTTGTTCTTCTAAGCTCTCAGCTCTTTTTTGAGTAAGCTGCGACTGGGTGAGAGGAAAGGCTGCCCAAGCTTGATGAGAGAAAGGATCAGGGCCCCACTGACAAGTGACTGCTGTGTGAAGAGCTGCAGCTTCGCCAAGTGCGTGCCCCTCCCCACTTTCCAGCATTACTGTGCCCTGCCTTCAGGGAGGTGATTTCAGGAGAAAGAACTTCCCCTGAAACAAACAGAAGACAACAATTAGTCACAATGCTGTGTGCAGCTTAGTCACCCGTTACATAAACAACCTCCTTGGTCCTCCTCAGCTTCCTTCCTATTAAAGGTTGATCTAGAAGAGCATTTCCAAAGCTGTGTTTCTGAGAACACCAGTCTCTAAACGTTCTCCAGAAAACACAAGGCACTGAGTAGAAAGCATGTATTACATCTAACTCTTTAAAATGCACCTTTACCAGTGCCTTCTTAGTGCAGTAGGCAGCGCGTCAGTCTCATAAAATGCACCTTTACCTACTTTAAAACTTTGGTAAAAGAAGCCTGTTATCTTCCTATAACCTAAATATACTCAAACTTACTTTGAGAAAGAAGCCTTTAATATAAAAAGCATAAACCTTATAGATATACTGTTTCACAAAATATAACTTAATAAAACAAACCTAAAAGAACTTATAAGCCCTTCTGAAGTCAGTTTCAATTATTTTTTAATTAATCATATTAATCAGGTAGGCTTAATTTGCACTAATGTATAAAAAAAAACACAAAACACTCCGTAATTAGAAGATTTCCTGGTAAATACATTACTGGAATGAAAATTCACCACTGTATCCAAATCTTGAAAATGTGAAACTGTGAGTATAAGACAAAACACAATTAAGGATCTCTAGATGCTAGTAAAAAAGTCATTTTAATAAAAGCATAGTTTTTTTTTTAATAACAAAATTCACATTTTATTTAAGTTGAAATAAACTATACAAAATAGATTTTCCTCACCAAAAATAACAGCAATATTTTTTGTATTATTCCTAGATAAACCACCAAACACTTATTTTTGTAGGTTTTCCAGGTTTTGTTTATAAATCAAGACAAGGCAGTGGATAATATAGTCATGGAAAAAGGCAGAGGAAAACAGACAAATCAGTTGTCAGTATGCATGGTCTCTGATTCTGCCTTATCCATGAATAGAGGTGTTCAACATATACCTGCTAAAAAGCTTATGAAGACTAAAAACACAGTTTTACTGACTGCCTTCAATGGGCTAAACATTCTCCTACAGACCTGTAGAAAAACAGCATATACGGCCAATACTCTCAAAGTTCTTACCTATTAAGTTTTAGAAGCAAAATTATTAGCATAATTTAAGACATGCAAAGGTGAGTGCCCTAAGGGAAGCATTATCACAAATAAGGTGCAGTGGAGCCCAGAGGAGCCTAACACATCTTTCCCAAGTAGATGACAAATTACTAAATCACTGGGGCACTTGGGTGGCTCAGTAAGTTGAGTGTTCAACTCTTGATTCTGGCTCATGTAATGTTCTCCAGGTCCTGAGATTGAGCCCTGTAGGCTACACGCTCAGTGGGGAGTCGGCTTGGGGTTCTCCCTCTCCCTTCCTCCTGCCCCTCCCCCCTGTTTGTATTCTGTCTCTCTCTCTCTCAAATAAATATATATATTTTCTTAAATTACTAAACTATTATGTTGGATTCCTTAGGCTATTTTTTTTGGTTTTTATGACTTTATATTGGTGTCACTTCTCCCTGAGAGCTTCCACTTCCATTCCTCAATGGTAGTGGGTTTCAAACTGAGGAAATCTTTGGCATAAAATCAACTGACGAAATCTAAAAATGTGATTGTCAAATGATCAGTGGAAAGAAAAAAAAGAAAAAAGAAAACCATTCCATTATATTGCTACACTTCTTATCAACTAGCAATTATCATCTAATTCAGTAGGGAACTCATAATACGTATAATCTTCAGAGGGTGTAAGACCAGAAAACAACATACCAATTCTATGAAGTAAAAACATCTGTATGACCAGGATAAGAGAGAAGAATTTTCTCAACTAAAAACCTTCCACTCACTCCCCACTTTCTGGGCATATATGTATAATCTTATTTTTAAAGTACCAAAACATAGGGCTTTTTTTTTAAGTAGCTAAAATGTACTGCTATTTGAGCTATGCTCTAAATATTACCAACTTACATAAATACTCTTTAGAACATGAAATTCTAATCACTTTAATAATGTTAAAAAAATACCATGGTTCACACTAGATTAATTTTTAATGTAAATTGGTTACTAAGTCTGTCTCTGAACAGTTCATATTATAAATGGTTTCAAATTGTTGGACTAGTGCCACAGACTTTTCATAATATGGTCATGCTAATGTTTACTTAAGCAAACAAACAAAAAAAAAGTTTTGCCCTAAAATAGTTGCACATTAACATATATTTGGACCTAGGTTCAAAAGATACATATGTATATCTATAGATACACACATACAAACACACACATATGCTTATTAAGAGTTTTATTTAAAAATAACTTCAATCAACCAAACACATTCCTTAGCTTTATGAAATGACAAATGCTTATGTTGTAACCAAAGAGAATGATCCCAATGAAATTAAATCACTTTTCTTAGTTACAAACTCATGCAATCTAGTATTCCCGAAGGCTACAACCCTGCTTCAACAGGGGCCTAGAGAGAAATGCAACTACTATAGTGACGCTATGTAAAAAAGTTTAAAAAAGAAAAAAAGAAGAAAGGGGGAAAGGAAAGAAGGGAGGGAGGGAGGAAGGACAAGAGCAAAAAAGAAAGAGAAGGGGGAAGTAGGGGAGAAGCAGGAGAGGGGAGGATACAATACTGGTAAGAATACAAAAGACTTTTTTTTTTTTTTTTTTTTTTTTTTAAACTTTTGTACATCTGTCTTCCTGCATGGAAATGCTATTTTTCTTACATCTGTGCTCTGTTAAAAAGCACAATAAAATTATACCAAAACAAAGCCAGATATGGTAATTCACCCACATAGAGTTGTGTAACTTCTCATGTACAATGTTGTTCAGGAAAAATCCTCTGCCCCAAGAGGAAAGAGGCCTTGGATTCTACATCTGGTTGTTTGGGGGGTTATAAACTACTGAAGAGAGTTGACCCCAAAAATCTCTGAAAATGAGATCTGGATGAAAATCAGAGAGGAATTTTCCACAGCCCTGCTGTTAAGTAAGAACTTACTAGCTAACCAGACTCCACAAGGAAAGAGAAGAGCACAGACAGAGAAAAAATTAAAAAAGAATTAGGACAGTTCATGAGTAACAGGCAATGTTTTTTTAAGAGTTGGGCAGAAAACCTTCCACTATTATCCCATCTCAGTCTCAGTCTCCTCTGCGAGGCACAGGGACGAAAATAAACAAATATACACTATCATACATCCTTCAACGACAAGCTTTACTACTGCACATTTTATTCATTTAATATTAATAACATGCCAGTCAGCTGACAGTCCTATTTTTTGATAAGAGAACATCTCGGCATGGTAGGCATCTTCTAATCTAAGGCATCAGCTGGAAAATCAAAGAGGCTGAATGGAGCATTTAAGGCTAGTCTTAAGAAATCTCCCAACTGGATTTCTCCTTTAATCTCTCCACTGCACTGGGGAATGGGGGCATCAGAGCAGGTAAAACGGCACTGGAAGGCAAGCTAGCTGGGAGGCCTATTAAGGCAAAGAGATGCTTGAAGATTGCTCACATCACACCAGACTGGAATACACTTAAGCCTGTTTACTCTCCCCCTTTCTAATTTAACACACATCTCTTTTTATAAGAGAAATTTTTGCTATAAAGGGCCAAATGGTGTAGAAACAACTGGCAAGAAAGTAAAAAAGAAAGAGAAATTATTAACTTACTATGTCCCAGAGGCCTTACAGACATGATCTCACTTAAACCTCCCAACAGCCTCCAGAGTGTGTACCATTATCATGGCTTTTCCAATTTGGAACCTGAGGTTCCATATGGTGAAGTGAGATTCTGAAAGTCACAGCTAAAAGTTAAAGAGCTAAGATTCAGACCCAAGGCACTCTAACTCCAAAGTTTACATGTTTTCTGTTGTGTCACAGGATATCTGTGTCAGAAATGGTCAGTCAGGGAACCTGAACTGTGCAGACGTTTCTCTGGCATCTTATTATAGCTGGGGACAACTCACTGATTTCTTCAAGTCTTAGTTTCTTCATCTGAAAAAGAGTTAATTACTAAACTGCTTACTTTATCTAGTATTACCACAGGACTATTTATTGTGATTGCTGTTTAGATTCTACATGCCTAAATAAAATGTTTTGGTTTCTCTTTCTTTCCTATTTTTCCTGAATGGGGGGTGGGAAGCACAGGACACCAGTAGCATTTATAAGAAGCCAACTTCATTACTCTTATTTTTTAAATAGAAGCTTTCCTGTTTAGAAAATATAATCACTTCTTTCAGTTCCCAGTTTCATCCCCAAAGCAAAGTCTTGACTATAGAGAAGTAACACATCCTGTAACAAGAAAGAGTTCCTGTGTTGATAACAGGAAGGATAAAAAGCAATCCTTAATTCTTACTTGCAGTTCTGATTATCTTAAAATCATGGTTTCTTAAAGAAACAGCTAAATACACACATACCAGGTGTCTCACGCTCACCTGGCATAGAACAAGGAGTCTTACAGGAACAAGGATGGCTCTGTGGAAGCAGCAGTATATGCAGGCTGGTTTACTGATGGCCCTCATCCCACCTATTTAACAGGGTGATCACATATGCTGGTACCCAGGACAGGCCCCGTTTATGTAATTATTAATAGTGCCCCCTTTTAGCCCAAAAAAGTAGTTGAGTATACATACAATAAATCATATGGCCATATGGCCATTTTACTCTTAAAAATTATAAATCATTTTCTTCCTTAACATATTAATCTGTGGCCAAGAACAGCACAGTTGGTTTCAAACAAGGCAGACACAGAATCAACACACACTGAAAAGGAATTGTCTGTAAGAAATGCTAAAAGTCCAATACAAAGTCAAGTAACCATTAACTGCAAATTTAAATATTCTTACCAACAAAACGCTATTGCTACTTTTAGTCATTTTTCAGCTGGAAAAACAATACAATTTAAAAATACCTACAGAATCAAACAGATGGGTTAGTTCTTTGAGGCAGCACTCATACGAGGGTGAAGCCATGAACGACGTAAAGTGACAATAACAGTGGCTCCTAGCTTCTCACAAAGACACCCCCTAACTCATGTTCAGCCTGCACTTGGATCTGCTTTCTCTCTTTCTCAGTCTTTCTCTCTCAAGACTATAGGAATAGCCCATAGATACACAGCCTGTACTGGGTCGAATTGTGTCCCCTACAAATTCATTTTTACCAAGAACCTCAGAATAGGACCTTATTCAGAAAAATGGTCTTCACAGATGCAATTAGTTAAGAGACGGTCCTACTAGACTAGGGCAAGTCCTCAATCCAATGACTGGTTCCCTTATAAGAAAACAAGAAGACACAAAGATACAAGGAAGAAGCCTATGTGACAATAGAGGCAGAGACTAAAGGGATGCAGTGACACGTCAAGGAATGCCAATGATGGTCAGGAGCAACCAGAAGCTAGGAAGAGGCAAAGACGCCTCTTTCCCAGAAGGTAGCAGGGCCCCACCAATACCCTGATTTCGGGTTTCTGGCCTCTAGAATCGTGAGAGAATATATTCCTGCTGCCTCAAGCCATCAAGTTTTTGGTAATTTGTTAAAGCAGTCCTAGGAAACTAATTCATACCTTAGGTTGAACTATCATCATTTTTTAAGATTTCACTTGGGTTATTGAGGGGCAATAAACGGTGGTCCATGGAAGGGAATACCTGGACTATGCACCCGAAAGATGAGAGCTCTGCTGCCCGTCCAGCAACCCTACCCTGGGCCTGTGAATACTGAAAGCAGCCCTTCCTCTGCACTGGGGTGGAGGGGAGTTATCTAAGTTGTACCTCATCCTTCTTCTCCTGAATGCGTCGTCTCTCTGCCTCGATAGTCAGCTTCTCCTGGATTTCCTGAGCAATTTCACAGTCTTGTTGTTCACTAAAAAACAAAGGTTAAAACAGTATGAATAAAGAAAATAAGGCATGATTTTTCCTAAAAATAACATAATTTACTAATACTCACTTTGAGCCCATGCACACTTTTTATTTTACTTAAACCTCATGAGAGTGATGAAAGAGGTTGATATTACCACATTTTACAGACAAAAAAGGCGGGGCCCAGAGTAGTGAAACCATGTCTCTAAGATCAGAGAAAGTAAGTGGCAGAACCAGCATCCAATCCCCCGACATTACAATGGAAAGTCCGATGCTTTTTCTACATTCCTAAATCACTTCACCATACTGGGGCCACTCTACAGAGAAGCATGTTTTCTCAAGAACATGTAAAGGAGACACAGACTGAGATTAATGTCCACAAATATCCAAATACAGATATGGAACACATAGAAAAAACTTGGGAGATAGCTCACTAAATGTCATTGTAATCACCTAGAGGTGCTGGTATGACTTTAAAATTATTTCTATAAATTTTTAAATTAGATGTATTTTTCAGTTTCACTAATACTTAAAATTCCTCCTCTCCCCCAATAGACACCTCTTTGGCTGATGCCAGTTTCCTTAATACTCAGGCCCCTAAGAAAATAAAATGTAATGCCATGGTGAGCACGGATTGTTTTGTTTGGGTATTCATGCATTCAACAAAGATTTAAATAACACCTGCTACGGTCCAGGCCCTATGCTCAACACTGAGGATACAAACATGAGGAAATCTTCACTCTGCACTCAGAGTGTCACAATACTTTTTGGTGAAAGAAACAAGAGAATGACTTTGGTGAGAGAAACAGATCCTTTAAAACAGCACCTATAAACTAGTAGTTCAAATACAAAATAAGGCTTCAATCTCTCAGAGGTGGGTACAAGTGTACATGTCATCTGGCTTTAGGTTTCAAGAAAAGTAAATGGACAGCTCAAAACTCCTGAAATGTGATGGCTCTGGACACCAACTTTTACACAAAACTGTTGCGAGGAATAAAGACCAGAAACACGCATAGAGTTTAAAAGATGCTGGAATAAGTTTACATTTGTGACTTATGGGTGCAGTTTGTTTCCTAAACAAATATATCCTTTCATTGTCCCCCTGCCAAGTGAACTTAAAATATTCAGTAGGGGAGCCTTGGTGGCTCAGTTGGTTAAGTGTCTGACTCTTGATCTCAACTCAGGTCTTGATCTCAGGGTCCTGAGTTCAAGCCCTGCACTGGAGTCCATGCTGGGTATGGAGTCTACTTTAAAAAAAAAAAAAAAAAAAATACTCAGTGAGTCTCAGTCTTGGTGGTATACTCGTGTTTAACAAATAGCATTTTCTAATTCAAAAGTGTTGCAGAGGGCAATAATCCTAGCTGCCATTGAGGAATTAAAATCCATATACTCTATTCTGATGAAACTGAGAGGATAAAAACTATTCTGACTATTCTATATGGAAATGGGTCACTTTCAACATGCCTGGAAATAGCTGTAGGTGGAAGATGTGTGCACAGACGCAGGTTTGTACACGTGTTGTGCACACACAAGACAGAAACGGAAGGAAGAGAAACATGCTTTCTGATGGCAATTTATCAGCTATAAAAGTATTTGGACTTAATGACTTCATCTTATAGGTCTAATATTTTAGGATTCTTAACCACTCTAACCAAAGAACTGAAAAGAAATAAAAACCTACTCAGAACAATTTTTATTTATATATCATCTTTTTATTTACTCACTTCTAATAATTAAGGATCATATATAAAATCATGGTCTTAGTTTTCAAAGATTTCTCTACTAGGATCTCCCAAACTCATGTAAAATCTGTACAGAAGTTAGCAACTATTAATTATATGCAGATGATAACATGGGAAGAAAGCAGAAGTTCAGCACAGAAGATAAGGCCAAATCAAATGTTAAAGGTACCAAATGACACAGATGTACCTCCTAATATGGACAACAGCCAAAATATGGAAAGAGCCCAGATGTCCATGGTCAGAAGAATGGATAAAGAAGATGTGGTGTACACATAACACACACACACACACACACACACACACACACACACACACACATACACAAGCACAGGAAGACTAATCAGCCATTAAAAAGAATGAAATCTTGCCATTTGCAATGACTTGGATGGAACTAGAGGGTATTATGCTAAGCGAAACAAGTCAATCAGAGAAAGACAAATACCACAGGAATTCACTCATATGTCGAACTTAAGAAACAAAACAGATGAATACAGGGGAAGAGAAGAAAAAATAAGACAAAAACAAAAAGGAAGGCAAACCATAAGGGACTTTTAACTATATGAAACAAATTGAAGGTTGCTAGAGGGGAGCTGGTTGGGGGGAATGAGGTAACTAGGTGATGGACATTAAGGAGGGCACGTGATGTGATGAGCCCTGGGTGATATATATAACTGATGAATCACTAAATTCTGCCGCTGAAACTAATACACTATATGTTAACTAAAGTGAATTTAAATAATTTTTTAAAAATAACTTAAAAATATATAAAGAAGTGAGGCTTAACCTGAGCTTAGTAACTTCAAAACCTACTTCCATGAAGGAACAGATCCAGTACACTCAGCCAATTATACAGAATCCTGAGAAGAAAAATCAAGTGGGAAAGGAGTAGTCAACAACCGCCAAACCTGACATTGGACAGGGACCCCAGGATGCAGACGGAGTGAGATAGATGTTCCAATTCACTAATATTTACAGCATTTCATCCATCCACTGATGTGCAATGTCAAAATTACCAGGGTGTGAAAATCAGAAAAACGTCCTTTCTAACTTAGTTCAGTTAGGAATACCTCCAAAACCCCAAAGTCCCAGGCAGAAATATAACACCTGGCTCTCCTCTAATTTAAGACCTATAATCCATCACTGTGCAAATCCTCATTTATATTTAGTGTTTTATCTTGATAATCTCTGAATAATCTCTTTATACTCACTATCATTACCCTAACTTAGGATCGTAAACCTCTGCATCAGCCTCAGAACTGCCCTTCAGAGTAAAGCACTGTGAATCCTGTAAAGGGCAATAACTGAGAACTCTAGAATATTATTCTAGCTCTGGGTCTGATCTTCCCTCTGGTTGTGACCCTGAACCTCCACACATCTCAAGTCTCGCTTTTTTTTTTTTTTTTAAAGATTTATTTATTTTAGAGAGTGAGTGAGAGAGCAGGGGGGATGGGCAGAGGAAGAGAAAGTCCCAGACTCTGCCCTAAGCACAGAGCTCAATGCGGGGCTCAATCTCCTGCCTCTAGGATCAGGGCCTTAGCTGAAATCAAGAGTTGGTCGCTTAACTCACTGAGCCACCCAGTCAAATCTAATTCCATTGTCTCAAATCAAGCCTCATCATCTCTTCATTTGACCACTGCTTAACAGTTGCCTCCACAATTCTTCACCTACCTAGCAGCACCCAGAGAAGGCCCCAAAATAAAAACCCCAACAGGTTCTCTGTTGTTTATAATATAAAATCTACAAAATCCAAATTCCTAAAAATATAACTTAAGTAAACTTTTGGTCCAACTTTTGACTACTTTTCTGGCCTCATCCCCTACCCAGGCCCTTACTCACACTCTGCAGTCCGGCAGGACTGAACATTGTGTAGCTACCATGAGATTCCAAGTTCTTTTACCTCCTGTCTTCCTTTTTACTTCCTCTGGCTAGAATCATTTTCCCCAGCTATGACTACATACTTCTAATTAACCATCAAGGTTCAGATTAATTGTATCATCTGCAATTGGGATGGTTTTCCCAGTCTCTCCCCTCTTCAAAGGCATGAAATGTATTCTCCAATTCCATGTGGCTTATACAGGTTATCTGTAGATTTACAATACTCAGAGTTTTATTCTGAGGCCCTTAAGGACAGTGGCTACATTTTATTCCTATCTGTGGTCTTCAGTGCCTTTCATGGTGACAGGTATAGCAAGAGTCAATAAGAGTGTTTATTTCGAAAATAAGTAAGCTAACAAAATGATGACTAAAATTCTTTCTACGAGTAATAGAACAAAAGAATAAACCGTTCCTCAAAATGGCAAAAATGATAGGTTTTCCTGTTTCTTCGAACATGAACTACAGTAAATTAAAGGTCCCTTCACTTCTTCCTTAACCTTTCCTCCTCAGAACAAAACCATGCAGTAAAACCCACCATTTGCGATTTAGGGATAGGGGCCACTGGCAAGAAATGCACTCTGTGAGCTTGTGCTGGAAGAGATTTTAGATGTGGTCTTTACATTTATCTAACTCTTAAAGGAGGAGACTAAGAAAGAACTTTTGTTAGATGCAGAAGTTATAAAAAGAACTAAGGGTGTAATTCAGAGCTTTCCAGAAGATTCTGCCTCTCCCTGCAAAGGACAAGGAAAATAAGAGCAGCAAACACCACCAGAAAATAGTAAAGGAATCCAAATAATTCCTGAAGTTCTTGGATAGCCAGTATTTCACCGGATTCCCCCAAACAAACTGTGAGGCAAAAGAGACAGAGATTATGTTCCACATGCTATAGGGAAGGGATATACACTCAGAGAGATGGACCAAATGCCTCGAAGTCATACAGTTACATGTGTTAAGAGTTCATACCAGAAGTCACATGTCCCAAAACCAAGAAAGTGCTCCAACAATGAACAAAAATTTTCAAATCAAAGAAAACTATGGGATAGCCACTACAGGATTTATAATCTAATAGTGAAAGGCATAAGAGGGATAGACCCAGTCTTCTTCCCTGTGCTGGTTGCTGACTCTACAGAGAAAACCAGTCCCAGCATGACTCCCTCCCAGCCCCCAAATCCTCACAGGTCTTTGTAGCGCTTCTGGAGCTGAGCCTGAGCTTTCAGATCTTCCTCCTGAAGCTGCTTAGCCACCTGGAGATCATGTTGGACCAAGCGGTTCCGCTGAATGTTCGATGCCAAATGATGCTCGACTGGACAGAAAGATTGAAGAGAGGTATGACAATGTCATGTTTTTTTGGCTTATTAATACTATGCCTCAAAATAACTCAAGAAGAGCTTTTCCATTAAAAAGAGCTTCACATCCACAACTTTACTGTATGCTCTCAATAATGCTATATAACAGGGAAAGAGGAATTCCTCTTCTCATCTTTCCATTAAGTAAAGTGAGGACCAGAAAGGTTAAGTAATTTGCCTTTGGTCACATGGTGAAACAGTGGTAGTACCAGGACTTCCACACATACTCTAAGGCCAAGGCCAAGGCTCCTTCTGCTCCACCAGTTGATACTCTCTTTATAAACTACATTTTTCAATACTTAATTTTTATACTGACACATAAATGATTCTCAAATTACATACTGACAAATATGTACTATTGTATAACACACATAACTTAGATTTAGCTTCTATACATACATAATTTTTTTTAATTTAATTTTATTTTTTGTGTGTGTTCCAAAATTTATTGTTTACGCACCTCACCCAGTGCTCCATGCAATACATGCCCTCTTTTTTTTTTTTTTTTTTTTTGAGATTATATTTGTTTATTTGACAGAGAGAGATCACAAGTAGGTAGAGAGGGAGGCAGAGAGAGTGGGGGAAGCAGGCTGTGTGCTGAGCAGAGAGCCCGATGCCAGGCTCGATTCCAGGATCCTGGGATCATGACCTGAGCCGAAGGCAGAGGCTTAACCCACTGAACCATTCAGGCGCCCCCCAATACATGCCCTCCTTAATACCCACCACCAGGCTCACCCAACCCCCCAATCCTCTCCCCTCCCAAACCCTCAGTCTGTTTCTCATAGTCCACAGTCTCTCATGGTTTGTCTCCCCCTCCAATTTCCCCCAACTCACTTCTCCTCTCCTTCTCCCAATTTCCTCTGTGTAATTCCTTATGTTCCACAAGTAAGTGAAACCATAGGATAACTGACTCTCTCTGCTACATAAATATTAAGAAAAATCCACAATCTAGGTACCGCCAGTGCCTGGAAAGATGTTTAGGCCCCTATTCTAGGGGAAGGAACAGATGCCAGAGAGTGTCTCTCTCCAGTAACATTAGGGTAAAAGAAAAGGTTCAAGTCCCTCTTCTCCCACATAACCAACAGTGTTCTCCTCCCTGGTAGCTGTCATGCTTCAAAATACCCAGAACTTCACTCTCCACCCAGTGACATCTGCCTAGATAAATTCCTCAGGATGGAAGGGCAGTGTGGCCTGGTGACTCCATTCTCTCCTGCCTCACCCTAAGAAACCTGCCTCAAGCTACCACTAAAAAAGCAAACAGAAGAACAGAATGAGGGCCATTACTCACTTTCTTGTTCCTGCAGGCTGTGGGCCAGGGTGTGGTCCTCTAAGACAGCAAAGTCTCGGCACACTGCAGAGGATGAAGGAAGAAAAGCAAACAAGACTCGTTGGTAATATTTTAATATATCTTAAAAAGAGAACTGTGTTTACTTCAAAAATTAATTCAAATATTTTAGGCTGATCAAGTTTATAACATGCAATGCAAAAGAGTGACCAGTTAGTATCAAGTCCTCATTCACAAAAATCCACATAGTACCTGCTCAGTGCCAAGCACAGGGTGTCACAAAATAATGATTAGCTCTGGTCCCTGGCCTAACTATACTAACCACAGAATCAGAACCCAGAGGTCCAGATATTCTAATCCACATCTATTAAGAGAGGGCAAGAACTGTTACCACAATACAAGAGTCAAGAACGTTCTGCATACTGCAGCTGAGAGAAAACTGAGTTCTTGCATGGTCAGAGAAGTTAAGAGCAGTCTAGCCTTTGCCACAGTCATCTGGGGTTGAGGGGATCCTCTCCCAGAGACTGACATCCTGGTTCCCAAAGGAAAAAATATACCTGTATTAGTCCCTCGGGTAGGAACAGATCTCTAAGTCAAGGATAATCACATTCTTTAATGGGTCCACACTCTCAGACATAAGTTAGAACTGGCTCCCTAGGTCTGTCTAAATGTAGAGCTTCCTAGAATGGATCTTTAAACCAAAAGAAAATGGGAACTTTAGGGGATACAGAAATCTACCCCTAATGTTGTCTTGATTTGGAGATCAAGATTTGGAGATGTCATGTTTTTTTGGCTTATTAATACTATGCCAAGTATTAGATTTACTTGGCATAGTATTAAGTATGAAGGCAGGAGCATTCACTGGCCTATCTTTTTAGAAGCAAACAGGAAGAGATGGTCTCCAAGGTCCATTCTACCCCAAACTGCAATTCAAACTCTTGTTTCCTAACATAAGCATATACATAAAACAATACAATACTTATGAAGGACTCTTATCATGAAATGTGCTTTTTATTTGTCTGTTTGAAGGGCAGTAGTTTAGGTGATACCTTTTTACTCTATTCCAAACACATAACTCACATGAAAAAGGAAAATTCCTCAAAGCCATAAACTACTACAATATATAGGACTCAGAAAACTACCAGAGGAATACCAGAAGTTATAGATTTCTTTCTGCAGCTTTGGATTTGTCTATGAGGACAAAGAATAAAGAAACACGTCTTTGCCATTCTTAGCACTTACATATGCTGACACATACATTCACGTAGCTCTGTCCCTGAGAAATAATGCAGTAAAAAGAGGAGGTAGATCCTGGACATTGAGGTTACTCCAAAATGGTTTTACAAATCATTTTTATCTAAGAACCATTCAAGCTACATATGAGCTGCTTACCCCTTGTTCAAACGCAACTGCCAAACTATTAATTTCCAGTAGGAAGTCCTGTTCTTTTACATCAGATATATTCTCAGCAAATTCTAACAACTGTGGCCCAGATCCTAGTCTGTGTTTCACAGAATGAAAGTGCTTTCAAAATGAGCTAGTTAACCCTTTCAATTAATAGGTGAGGAAAATGAGGGTCAGAGGGAACAAAGGACTTATTAAGGCTATATGCAATTTGTTGGTGACAAGGCGAGAAGTCAGTGACTGTGCCAGCAAGAGCTCTTTCCTTTCCTGACACTATGACAGCCCTCCTGGACTTCAGACAAACCGGGAGGCTGGAACAGACCAAAGGAGATATTCAATATTGACTAACATGCATTCCCTAAAATGCTTAGCTAATTAATATTAATTGATTAAGTGCCCAAAACATGCATGATTTAGTTTACAGAAAACAAATATTCAGAATCAGCCAAATGAATGTAATCAAATCCTGTGCAAAAGAATGCTATTTTAATATGCTGCCTTATTATCTGAAGTGCTTTTATTATACTATCAAAGTTTATGTCTATATACTAAAGTCAGTATTAATTTTAGATTAAGATTAGATTAATTATTAAGTTTAATATTTTTCATATCAAGGATGGCAACTTATTATTAGGTCATAAAACAATTTACTAAGTCTAAAACAAGCATTTAAAAATGAATACGCTAGAAAATAGAGTATAGCATACAGAGTAAGGGAAACTATGGTATGGAGAAACTTTTTCAGTTTTACACACATAACACACACATACACACACACAGATACATTATATATACATGATATGCGTTAAGTCATAATGTAAAACATATGTCATCCTGTAGGTTACGGTCAAAAACACTTAAAAGCCACTTTAATTTATGTGATCAGGGCAGAAAGTTATATCAAACAATATATTTTATATATTTTTAATGTCATGTTGAATAAAATTTAAAAATTATAAAATTATTACAGTTTTCCACAGGGATAACCACGTGAAGAACTGAAATAATTTCATATTTTTTCTTTTAGTCAGTGCAACAGTAAAAACATAATGTTTATGGATATAAACACCTGTAATAAAAATATACGTTTTCCACATACTAAATTTAGAATCATGGTCACCTACAGAGAGAGGCAAAGGCAGAAGTGTCTCTGCTATATCTGATGGAGTTCTATTGCTTTATGAACAAAACAGAGAAGACTAAAGCAAATAAGGCAAATATTAACATCCATTAAATTTGACCAATAGGTTGTCGGTTTCTGTATTTCTTTTGCTTTTTGTAATTTTTTATGTATTACATTTTAAATTCTATAATTAAATACAAACTTTAAAAAAATCTATATCTTTAATTCCATCAACAGCAAATACTGCTAAATCATAAACATGGAGACACACTGACATAACAGGTACAAGGGGTGTATGAATTACTGGTTACTGTAGCAATGACTCTTCACAATGATTTCTTGATATTTAAACAAAAAGTACAAAGTCTATTCAGTCATTATGATTTGATCCTAAATCTTCTCACAGTATATATGGGTTATGGCTTGAGTTAGAAGAGAATCTAGAAGATCTTCAAAGACTACAAGGAAGTGCACACACACATACACAGAATTGTACTGTCAATACGATGACTTAGCACTTCAGAGTTTGCTAAGAACTTCCAAGTATACAATCTCATTTATACCAAGTATTGTGTGTTCAGTACAGTTTCTTCTGCATCCACTCTGGTTCCTTCCAAGATGTGCCTCTATATTCTCCGCACCATAATTCTACTACAAGCTGGAAAACAACCACACATCCAGCCATCTTTGTAAATCAGTAATCAGATGGGCAATTACAGAAAAATTTCACAGCCAGGCCAAGTTCAGAGCCTAGATCTTTGCTCCTTCCTTAATCTACTTTGAAGTAAACAGTATAAATGTACTGAGGGTAAACAGCATAAATTCACCACACTACCTTTCCCTGCAGGCATATTTAAGATGTACAACTGGGCCCTGAACTCTTACCCTCCCACTTCTCAAACTTCCTCCCTCCTATGTTCACTTTGACTCATCCAAATTTCACGCTGATCTTGCCAGTAAAGCAACACCATCACTCTCCTTCATTCCTACTCATACTTCAATGTTCCTCCGGCCTCTTCCCTCTAACCCCAAACATTTTCCCCACAATTAGGGCATGGTAGCTAAGTCTCTTTTGAAAACTAATAACCATGTAACTCTGCCTCCTTGCTTCTGAAGAGGACCAACAGAAAGAAACACATTTATCCATCAACTCAAATACACAGCTGCCTCCCTGACCAGCTGCAAACTCTTCAGGGCAGGGATCTTGTGGGACTAATCTTTGCACCTTCCACAAAATTAGCACTGGATGCAGCATGCAGTAACACTTCAAGAGATATTAACAGAAAAAAAAAAAAAAAATGAAGAAACACTGGTCAACAAAGTAAAAAAACACAACAGCTTGTTGTGAGAGCATCACAGAGACTTGTAAAATTTTCAAATTCCAAATTTTCAAATAAAACTAGAAATCTTCCCCATTCCCATTAAATGAAATAGCTTTAGTGATTCTTTTAATCCAGATATATACATGTAATATACAACGAATTAGTTTACATTAAGCCAAGCAAATCTCAGAAATACGTGGGATTTTTACATATATAAATACACACACACACACACACACACACACACACACACACACTCCCCCTCATCCATTTTCCTTGAAGAGATTTTCATTCATTCATGAATCTTTCTAAATAAATAAATGACATAGCATGTATTTAGTAAACATACTCATTCAACAAACATTTGCTGAGTTCTCTTTTAGGATAAATAAATCATCTTCAAGCTATCAAGAAGGTAGAGATGACAAAAAGGTACATAAACATAATATAATTTAATAAATGTTATAAAGACCTACTGAATATTCTTTGAAGGCATAAATATGGAGGAGTTATGCTTGTTATGAATTGGAGGTAAGTATAAGGAATGACAGTGACTCAGGCAGAAGTATCAAGGAACCTTAAAGTAACTAACATACAAAACAAATTTCAAAGTAAGATTAAAATTCTTAAGGGCAAAAGGGGTAGGTATTCTCAGTGAAGAGGCCATTTAACTCTTACAAACCATAAAAAGAGTGAAGAAGTCATTTCCCTTTTGTCCTTTTACCCACATTCCAAAACTTTCTGAAAATACAATTCCAATGAGTCAATCTTTACAAGCTCCCACCCACACAGAAATGCCTGGGTTAATAATACATTCACTAGAAACTACTTCTTTCAACTGTGTCTGGATTGCCTTTTATGTTCTGGTACAGCTTGTGAGTTATTTTTGCGTAAATGCTATTAGCAACAGATGGAATACATACTCATTACACTGACAGCAGGGATGACACTCGCTTTCCTTTGTTCTGTACACATGAAAACAGCTTCTATGAATGACGATGATATCCCAGACACACATTTTGTCTTGAAAAGTTTGGTAACGACAAGCAGCCACAGTTGATGCTGATGGAGCACTCTGTTCATGACAATGTACTTTCACATTTATTCCTCCTAACCACTTGAAGGTAAAGGCTTTATCAGTGTTCTCATTTCATTTATGAGGAAACTTAAGGCTCAGAGAAATAAAGCAACTTGACCAAGATAGCCCAACAAATAAA